GCTCTCGATTCGCCCAACTCAGTGCGGAACTGAAGGCCGCCATAGCTGAACTGGAGTCTCTCGTCTCTGCTCCCGCCACGGCCACCACCAACGGGTCAACGATAACAACTGAGGAGACCGCAAACCTGTCTGCCCGAAAGCGTGCTCTAATGCACACCATTAAACGAGTGGACAAGGAGTTGACCGAATTGAAGAAGAGCCTTGTGGGTGGTGGTCATGAGCGGACCGCCAGCGAGAGCGCTGACGAGCCGACGGCGGTGACCGCAGTTGCTGCAAAGAAATCAGCAGTGAAGCAATTTCTGCCAGACTCACTAGCTGCCGAACGTCTGGAAAAAATTGATAAGGTAAGATGGTCATCGAGTAGAACCTTTAACACTCCGCTGGTCGAAATTGTTAACTTATTTGATTTTCCAAAAGCCTTATTCAACAGTTCCAACTCCTTACTGTTTTGTTCTGTCCATGTCAGGTTAAGCAGCAAATTGTGGAGCTGGAGTCTGAACTGCAGAAAAATAGGGACAAGCCGGATGCGCTTACGGAAACGCGTCGAAAACTGACGGAATTAAAGCGCAAGGTATAGTCGTGCTGTTCCTCACGTTGCAATCACTGTTTTTCTTGCTAATTTATTTAATAATTGCCATTTAATCCTCCTGCTTATCACATGCTGTCCCACCAGAGTGCCGTCGCAAGACTAGGGTGGTAACATGGGCCATCAGGCTTTCGGTCAAAGTTCCGGCGACAGTAGCTGCTGGTGTCACCAATTTCGCCATCTTCACGCTATTGTTGGCTCAAAGATCACGTAGGCTACAGCAGTTACTGACTTTCACCAACATCTGAAGCAGGTTCTTAAAGGCTGAACTAAAACTTCCTGTGTTTGGCATTTAGGAGTATGTAAATTTTACCGACTACCTGCATTTCCTTTAAATCCTTGCAAACGGTGCACGCATCTATGTTAGACCTTCATTAATTTCATGGGGTCATAAAGTGCTGTAAACTGCTAACCCATAAATGTCCTGAAAACCTTATAACAGTGCCGCCGTTCCAATTATATTAGCTGTCAAATGGTGAGATTGCCCACTGCCATATAAAGTTGGCCGTCATTTCGATCGA